CTTTGAGATCGATCCACCAGTGGTCGATTTAGTGGGTTTAGTAAAGACCTTCCAGAGCAACTGCAAGTCATTCTGCAGTCAACCCTGTGCTTTATCCCTGACCAGAAGAGCTAGGTAATCAACAAGAGAGTTTCTCCCATTGATACCCCATCATAACTTGACCTAAGATACATTGTGCACCCCACAGTCATTTGAAATAAAGTATGTTGACTCCAGGTACATTATTCATATAGCTGGAATTGCGTACCTAGGGTCCACTTTCTACAGTAATGTACACATAGGCTCTGTCAGGTCTTCCCTTTCTCTCAACCAGGCCTGCAGAAAGCAATGGGAAAGAGAAATGTAATAGAAGTTCAGTCTAGTTTAGATGGAGATTGTTTGTAGGTGGGAAGAGGTATTACTTGCCTATTTCTGCATATAACAGAGAGAGAAAACATCAGGTAGGTTCACAAAGGCCCTAAATTTGAACATCTGCAAATTAGTATAAGAAGTTCTTAGTGGAGGACCCTAAGTTATAGAACTAGATTAACTTATGGTCTTTTTCACTCAGTCTTTTGCATGAGAGAAATCACTGTGGAGAACATTCTAACTTTTATTCTGATGTGGTCATTTGTTTGTTGACCAATTGTTTAACTGCTAACTTTGTCAAATTTTTGTCAAACCTACTTTTTAATAGAAAATTATGTATTAAACAATTTTGTGAAAAGTGCCTGCTTTTCACAGAGTTTTGGTTTAAAGAAACTCCATAAACTGAAAAAAATAATTGCAGTCAAAATTAAATATTTTGATTCGGTTATGTTTGCTACCTCATGGAAGTTGTATTTCTGTTTCTTCAAGTCCCCATTCTCCCCTTTGGGCCATGAACATTGATAAATGTTCTGTAAAAGTGGCATATTTCCAAAATTATTCAAAATAGTTAAGTCCAAAAATACTGTCAAGAGTTTCAAAGGAACCTCAGAAAACATGGTGACTGGGCAACAAAACGACAGATGAAAGTCAGTGTTGATAAATGCAAAGTAATGCATGTTGGAAAACATAATTCCAAATATACATACAAAATGGTGAATTCTAAATTAGCTTTTCCCATTCGAGAGAAATTTTGGAAATACCAAAGATATCTACTCAATATGCAATGGCAATCAAAAACAAAAAACAAAAAACCCACCCCCTAACAATGTTAGCAACCATTAAAAAAGGACTAGACAGAAAATATAATGCCTCAATATAAGTTCATTTACACTCACATAATGAATATTGCATGCAAATCTGACCATCCCATCTAAAAAAAAGATGCAGAAAAGGGCAAATAAAATGATTAGGAGTATGGAACTGCTTTTCTATGTGAAGAGATTAAAAGACTTGGACTTTTCAGCTTGGAAAAGAGATGACTAAGGAGAGATATGGTAGAGGTCTATACATTCTTGACTGCTGTGGAGAAAGTGAATAAGGAAATATTACTTACTCCTTCATATAACATAACAACTAGGGGTCACCAAATGAAATTAATAGGTAACAGGCTTAAAACAAATAAAGGGAAGTATTTTTCACAAAATACAGTCAACCTGTGGAACTCTTTTTGCGTGGAGATCTTTTGAAAGCCACAATTATAACCGTTACAAAAATCTGTTAAGTTCACTGATGGACCTATCCTCTAAGAACACCTCTAGCCTCTCTTTTCTAGAAGCTGGGAGCTATTAGCAAGCTTACTCCATAATTGAGTGTGACAGGGGTTCTCAACCTTTTTTCCACATGAGTTCCCTCCATCATACTATAAAAATGATGCTTGGCCCATCTATAACAAGTGTTTTTCTGCATATAAAAGCCAGGGCCAGAATTAGAGGGAAGCAAACAGGACAATTGCTTGCAACCGCATGCCACTCAAAATAAAATTTCAGAATTCTAATTCAGACACAGGTGGTGGGGCCTCGTGGCTTCTGCCCTGGACTCCAGCAAGTCTGATGTTGTCCACCTTGACAGTCATGGCCTCAAATGGGACCCCAGATTCCTTGTTAAGAACCCCTGCTCTGAAGCATCTGGTACTGGCAACTGGTGGAGACAGGATACTAGGTTAGGTAGACCTTGGACCAAAGAAAATGTGGCAATTCCCATGTATCTATAACCTCCTCTGCAAAGCAAAATTCCTACTAACTGCTCTGTTCCCCAGCATAGCAATACAAATTTTGGTACCAGTGATGTAAAAAACTGCATTTCAAACATACGGAAAATAGTTATTTTATCTTTAAAATGGAAGTAATATGTCATTGAGTTGTCTGAGAATATCTTTAAAAACTAATTTAAATGTATATTGCATTTTAAAATCTCCAATTGAAATAATAGGATTGAATAGAGGGGAAAAGGAGCAGATAGTCATGAAGCAAAGGGTTTAATTACAACTTATAGCTTAAAAAAAATTATAGGTGAACACATGGCTGCAGCTCAAATCTGTATATCTATTTCATTAAAAGAAAGCACGATTGCTATTTTCTTCCCTCACAAAACCCAGATGTAAAAAATAACTAAGAAATATATTTATTCAATTGTAGTGGAGGGGGAAAAAAAGCAGAATAATGGGACAATAAGAAATACAGATGGTCAGAAATCATATGATCAAGGTTTCATCAAATTGTAAAATTTAAAATGAACAATTGTCAATTGTTGTCCTAGTTAAATATCATATTAAGAGTCATACAAACTGTTCTGTTTTGTAGAAATTTAGAAGGTGATGTTGCCGTACGAAGCTCAGCTGCTGTCTATACATACTGCAAATCACGAGGGTTATTTGCAGGAGTATCTTTAGAAGGAACATGTTTAATTGAAAGGAAAGAAACTAATCGCAAGTAAGTCCAGTTTAAAAAAATAGAATCAAAGGATTAGAAGGGACCATAAGTGTCATCTAGTCTGTCTGGCAAGAGGCAGGATTTGTTGTGTCTAAATCATCCAAGGTGTAAATGTCCATAATCCTCCAGCTCATAGAAGGCTGATGACTACTTTCCAGCCTTCTTGTGAAATGCTCCAGTGAAAAAACTTCCATGACCTCCCAAGGCTGTTTGTTTCATTGTCCTGTATTTACAGGTAGGAAGTTTTTCCTGAAATTTGATCTGTGATATTCCTGTATGTTTCCTCCATATCTTGCACTTCATTATCAAATGGGTATACTGAAATTTTAGTGGAATGGATCTTTAGGAAAATATTTAAAATAAATCTTATAGTGCACTTGTAGAATGAGATACTCTGTACTAGTTTTCGTTGCGTTGAGTACACAACAAGTTCCCTAATTTATAAACAAATCGGGGTAAGGTAATTTGTTGTTCAGATTCGTAAAATGTCTACTGTACCCACAGGGTGAATATTTGCGATATTTTGGTATAGTGGAACAAATTCTGTCTTTGGAATGATTTCTGTGAGAACTGCAGGTGATTATCCAAAGCAAAATTTGGCCAATGGTATTGCCAAAACATAGTAGTATTTTGAGTACTAGAATTATATTGCTACAATATAACATGCGTTCCACTGAAACATGCCAAAGTTTAATTGTGATGTGAGTTATTTATCTTTTTTCACTAAAACAAGAAGTTTTTGAACTTGAAGTAGGTACTGAAGTGTTGGATTTGGCAGGCAATGACAGACATCTGTATCAATGTCTTTTTAAAAAATAAATTAGGGACTATGTTCAGATCCTTCCTAAAGAACTCAAGAGTTACTGCTTAGTTTTGTTTTGTTTTATTTTACCTATATCTGACGATCAAAACTGTCAGAATTGATGAGAGATTTAGGTTGTTCTTCAGAGCTGTCTTTGTGGGTGTTCCACGTTAGGTGTTTGGGTGCCTCAGTATGCCTGGCCAGAAGATTTCTATAGCAGTGCTTGTGAATAGCTTGTTCCCGTATGCACAGTACCCTTCACGCACCAGGTAGCTAATGGGCACATGTGAGCCCTGATCCCTTCAGTTCCTTCTCTGCCGCCCAGCGCTGGTTGAATCCCGAAGTGAGCTCTGCATTGAGTGTCTCAGTTAGTTAGCCTTTTACCATAGCGTTTGTCAGACGTAGGTTTTAAAATCTTTTTCCTTCACCCTAACCCCCCCCCAAAACCGACGTTCTTTGCATTGGACCGCAAATACGTGGAGGCTTACTGCATGCTGCTTTTCCCTTATGGGGATCGCTCCACAAGGGCTTTCCCCTCTACGTTTTGTTTTGGGTTTTTTTGGCTGGTTTTACTATTTTTATTATTTTAATCTTTTTATCTGCCTGAGGAGATCATCTACAGTGACTACCTCAGAACCTCTCTCCCCTGCCCCAAGTATATACCACCGTGGCTGGTGCTCAGACTCCACCTATTTGCCACTTGTATATTTCCCACCCAGATGGGCGTTCGTTTATTTCCACTTCCTGAGGGTGTAACACGGAGTACTTCAGGGCGTTCTTCGCAGAGCCCTGATTGCCAGAGCAAATATAGCAAGACAGCTATTTCACTTGGACAGCGAACTGACCAGACTTAGTTTCTGGGTTTTTCCTGCATCCCCGCTTACACTCTCTCATAGCGATGTCAGACAAGGCGGCTGCATCTGCCTCACCTGCGAGTTCTGCAACCTCAGTCTAAACGATCTAAGAAGATAAATGCAGATGCAACAGGGAATCCTCTTCACCCAAGAAAGGGTGATGCCACAATTCCAAGCCAGTTCCATCCCCTATGGGGGCTCCGCTTGCCAGGACTGCAGTCCCACTGCACCCTGAGAGTCCCAGGACCTGCCTACAATGCTGAAACAGGCTAGCAAGCCCAAGTCGCCTACCCCACTCCCTGGCAAGGCAAAACGCTCACAGCCACAGTACCCCCTGTCGCCTATGCCTCAAACTTATTGTTTTACATCTATGGACCAGCTAAAGGTTACCTTAGTACCCACTACTCTGCTTTTCAGTACTGACACCTCTCCTACACTTTCCAGGTTCTCTCCAGCAAATATAACAGCTCCTGCACCTCCTTTATATAGTAAGGAGGAAGCTGTGTCTCTGTCAAATGCTGTCTCACCCAGGCACTCCTTCCCTAGGAGGAGAACACCTCAGCCACAACCAATGACACTTCAGTGGGATTCCGGCCAGTGGCTACCACCTATCATTTCCATGCCTCTCACTTGGCCATACTGGGACCCATGGGCACCTCTCAGAATCCACCAGCAGCAGCAACAATACCAGCATGCTGGTCAGGCTCCACTCAAGACACACTTCTGTGACATCCCTAGATGTGTCCAGGGATCAAACTGACTCCAATCATGCTTTTAGTGACTATGACTCCAATGATTCATCATATCTGCCAACTCAGCTCTCCTCTCCCCTGGAGAATTCCCTCATGCCACTGCCTCCATCAGTGGGCAATGATTTCAGGGCATTTCAGGACCTTTTTAGAAGGGTGGCTGATGTGTTAGAGATCTCATTAACGACACAGCCCAACAGCCAACATAAGCTCACCAGCATCCTATGTGCTACACCAGTGGTAAAATTAGCGCTTCCCATGGATCCTGCCCTCATGGATCCTGCTAAACACCTGTGGCAAACACCAGCCACCATAACCCCATTGGCAAAAAGGCGGATAGAAAATATTATGTCTCCTCACAGGGTGTGGAGTTCCTCATCACACATCCTCCTGCCAACTCCCTCGTAGTTGATGCTGCCAACCAGAGGGCCAAATGTATCTTACCAAAATCCACTTCCCCGATAAAGAGTGAAAACAGCTTCATCTCATGTGTAGGAAAGCCTACTCATCTGCCTCCCTCCAACTCCACATCTCCAGTTATACGGCTATGCTGGCAAAATATACATGCCACATTTTTTAACAGATATCCACTTTTATTAAGTATGTTTCAGAACAAAAAAGGGAGCAGTTTAAAGCCAACACAAATGAGGGCTTCCTAATAGCCAGGACAGCCCTACAGGCCTCCCTCGACTTTGCTGACACTGCCACTCATTCCTTGCAGACACATTACTGATGAGGATATCATTCTGGATCCATATATCTGACTTCCCAAAAGAGGTTCAGACAAAGGTCGAAGATCTCTCATTCGAGCGCCAACACTTTTCGCAGAGTCCACTGACACTTGGTTGCACGCCCTGAAAGATTCCAGAGCCACCCTTCGCATGCTGGGTATCCAGGTTCCTGTGCAGAAACATAAACAAAATGAGAGTTGTACTCAGAGATGCAGACCTGCCTTCTTTACTGAACCACAAAGACAGTATGACCAGAGAAAATGACAATGCCAGAGCAGAAGGCGACAATCTGCCAAACAACCCACCACATCCCAGCCCTCTAATAATAGACAAATATTTTGAAGTTCAGGTCGGGAATAGTCAAACTCGTCCCTCCCCTCCCATCCTTCGTGGCACTCCAATATCCACACAATGCCTAGAACCATTCTATCACCACTGGTGCCTCATAACATCTGACAAGTGGGTGATGGATGTCATAAAGAATGGGTACTGCATTGCATACTGTTCCTGTCCTTTCCAAAACCCCAGCCACTCACCCTGTTCCTCTTCAGGGACCCATCTCATGAGAGCATCCGATGCCAAGAGATCAACCACCTGCTCTCCATCAAAGCAGAGGAACGTGTTCCCCACCAGTCCTGCAATACTCGCTTTTATTCTAGCTATTTCCACATAGAAAAGAAGTCAGGGGGATGGAGGCCAGTCTTAGATCTCAGAGGCCTCAACAGGCATGTCTTTTCCCAACACTTCCGCGTGATTATCCTCCCCACCAGTATTCGCTCCCTCAACCAAGATGACTGTTTGGTGACTCTTGACCTCCAGGATGTATATTGCCATGTGCTTATCCACCCCGCACACAGGAAGTACCTCCGATTTACTGCGAGTGGATAACACTTCCAGTACATGGTACTCCCCTTCAGCTTCTCCACTACACCGAGGGTATTCTCCAAAGTACTGGCAGTAGTTGCTGCTCATCTGCGCAGGCAGTGTGTGTCCATGTTCTCATATCTGGATGACAGCACGATAAGAATTGACTCCCTTCAGGAGACACAAGAAGCAGTTAATACCACCATGGAACTCTTTTGATCCCTAGACCTCCAGATAAACCTCTCCAAGTGTCAACTTCAACCAACTCAGGTGCTGAAGTTAATAGGGGCTCCATTAGATTGTACTACTGCCATTACATCTCTGCCCCACCAAAGATTCCTAGCTATACGGGAACTTACTCAGCTTCACTGCACAGCTCCCCAACTACCTGCCAAAGCATGTCTCCAGCTCCTAGGCTACGTGGCAGCAGCCACCACCATGGTCCCTCATGCCAGATTGCATATGAGGCCACTACAGCATTGGCTCAGCACAGTATACAGACCAAGGAGAAACAGCCTCCTCAAGCTGGTCTTGGTGCCACTCACCATCAGGAAGTCACTCCAATGGTGGCCAAATCCACAAAACGTGTGTGTTGGGGTTCCCTTCCATAAACAAGCCCCATCCTTTACGATCACCATGGACACATCCCAAATAGGCTGGAGAGTCCACCTTGGCACCCTTACCACACAAGCCTGATGGTCGCCCGCAGAGACCACTCTGCACAGAAATATCCTCGAGCTCCATGTGGTATTGTATGCCTACTGGCATTTCTGAGGCCACATCTCCAATTCCACTGTCCAGATCTTTACAGACAGCCAAGCTGCAATGATTTATATCAACAGGCAGGGAGGGGTCAGGTCTTACCCCCTCTGCAAGGAAGCAGAGAACTTTCTGGGTGTCTGGCTGATGAGTCTTGCCCACATGCTCAGGGTTTAGCTGATCGCCATATTTGGGGTCGGGAAGGAATTTTCCTCCAGGGTAGATTGGCAGAGGCCCTGGAGGTTTTTCGCCTTCCTCTGTAGCATGGGGTACAGATCACAGCTAGAGGATTCTCTGCATCTTGGGGTCTTCAAAGTATTTGAAGGCTTCAATATCTGAGATATAAGTGAGAGGATTATTCTGGGAGGGGTGGGTGAGATTCTGTGGCTGGGCTGTGCAGGGGGTCAGACTAGATGATCATAATGGTCCCTTCTGACCTTAAAGTCTATGAGTTTGTTTCCGGACTTGGTGCAGTGCACACAATATAACCTTAATTGCCTTTCATCTTTCAGACCTATAGACTTATTTGCCTCACACTTTGTGGGAAAGGACAACACTTCTCCTCCAACCATGAGTGGGAAATAGATCCCCACCATCTTTCACAAAATCTTCCAATGCTGGGGTTTTCCCCAGATAGACCTATTTGCGACCCAGACAAACAAAAAATGCCTGCAGTACTGCTCACGAGTAGGCATTGGCTCTCACTTCCCAGGAGACTCACAATCCACTGGGGCATAGCACTCCTCTATGTTTTTCCACTGATACCACCTCTTTGAGTGGTGAACAACATCCGATTGGACAGGGCCAACATTATCCTCATAGCCCCAGACTGACCTAGTATACTTACCTGTTCCAAATGTTGTTCAGGCAGCCATGGCGTCTCCCTCTGCTCCTGCATCTCCTCACCCAGCATTGCAGTCACCTCCATCACCTGCACCTCTTCACTCTCCAGCACCAGGCATGATTCCTCACTGGCTCACTCCACTAGAATCACAATGCACAAACCAAGTCCAGTAAATTATTCTTAATAGCTGCAGAACATCTACTCAGAAAACTTACCTGTACAAATGGCAGCGCTTCTCTGCTTGATCCCAAAGAAACAACCTCAATGCAGCCTCAGCTCCACTACCTGAGATCTTGCAATACATCATGGAGCTTAAGAACTCAGGTCTCTCCATGAGCTCCCTTAAAGTCCATCTCACTGCATTCAGAGCTCTACACCAACCAATAGACAATACATCGGTGTTCACACACCCCATAACTAAAAGTTTTCTCAAAGGCCTGTGAAACACTTACCCGCTCATCAAACCACCAGTCCCTGCCTGGGACCTCAATCTCGTTCTTATGGCCCTAACAAGAGAGCTCTTTGAACCATTGGCAACATGCTCACTACTCCCTCTCGATGAAGGTGGCTATAACATCTGCCAGATGAGTGCGAGAAATTGCGGCCATCATGATGGACCCACCTTTTATGGTCTTCCATATGGTGCAACTTAGGCCCCATCCAAAATTTTTGCCAAACATGTCCTCCGTGTTCCACTGCAATGGGCTTATCAACTTACCTGTCGTCTTTCCCAAACCTCACAACAATGAGACGCAGGCAACACTTCATACCCTCGATCTCCACATTCTATCTACATAGATAGAATCCACAGAACCAACAGATCCACATGAATTCGCAGAACCGGATCCACACGAATTTGCAGAACCAACAGATTATTCATTTTGACTACAGAACCATCTTTGGGACTTCCCATCTCTTCTCAGAGACTTTCCAAATGGACAGTGGAGTGCATAAGACTGGCATACTGAGCCTTTTGGCAGAGATCTGCCTCCACAACATCATGTACCTTCAACCAGAGCCATGGCTGCATCAACTGCATATATCCAGCCCCCCACCCCTCCATTAGATATTTGTAGATCAGCTACCTGGTTGTCCACCCATACTTTTGTGACCCACTATGAGCTTGATATATACCCCTCTAGGGGAACCCTGTTCAACCACTTCATCCTGATCACTGTCCATAACAACACTATGCCAACCGAAGCACCTACCTCTAGTGGACACACTGCTTCATAGTCACGTAAGGTGGAGCACTCACAGGGACAGCCTTGGAGAAGAAGAGAGGGTTACTCACCCTGTGCAGTAACTGAAGTTCTTTGTGATGAGTGTCCCTGTGGATGCTCCACCACCCGCCCTTCCTGCCCTCTGCTTCGGGGCATCCTCACACATGCCTCCTGGGTCAGAGAAGGAACTGAAGGGATTGAGGCTTATGCATGCACATTAGCTGCCTGGTGCAGGAGGGGTGCTGTGCATTCACAGACAAGCTGTCCACAAGCACTGCTATAGAAATCTTCCAGCTGGGTGCCCAAAAACCTAAGGTGGAGCACCCAGAGGGACACTCATCTCAAAGAACTTCAATTACTGCAGAGGGAGGAGTAACCCTCTCTTTTCTAAATCTTAATTTTTTTTCATTATGGTGCCATTGTTGAATATATACACACACTAGATTTGTTTAACTTTGTTCTCTGTTTTCTAAGATAGTAGCAGTGCTATAAAATCAAAATTAGTCATACATAATATAAAACAAAAATCTTTCCAACATATTGCATTTTTCATCTCTTCTCCCCCCAAAATATTCAATTACCTTAATATATGGTTCCAAAGTTACACTAACATGAGGTTTCTCATGCTATATTGTAATGGGTTTGAAATCTTGTTTGAGTCAGACCACTTGGTTGAATATTACATTAAAATCAAACCTGTCTTAGTTAGAAACAATTAAAATTGTAAATTGAATGGGAGATTTTTAGAAAAAAGGAGACATTCTCATATTGCTGTTTATAAGAGTGAAGATTTAAAAAAAATACAAAATGTACAGTACCAGTTTTAAGCTGTGCAGTAGTTAAAGACATTAATTCATATTTAATAAAAGCATGGTTCTAATAGGCCCTTACATGAGAACATGTGGAAGATATGGAGAAAATTATGCAAGGAGGTTCTCCCCTTGTACAGCTGAGACAAGACCAGCAAGGAAGATGCACACAGGAGGGAGAAGAAGTTATGGACATGTCTTCCTTTGGAACAGGCAGTCCATACTAGAAGTCCTATAGGTTCAAGTAACCTGTAAAGTAGGCCACTCAGTGAGCAGTTATTTGTACAGGTTGGACCTCCCTGGTCTAGCACTCGATTGGTCTGGAACAAGGGAATTTGCCAGACCAGGGGATGTCAGGCCTCCAGGTTCTCCTGGAGCTCCTCTCCTGGCTGCTGCCTCAGGAGAACCCGGAGGCCTGACCCCCTTTGGCCCACCTCTCTGGCTTTGTTTCCCCCAGCCTGATCACAGGACTCTGCTCCCTGTCCCCAGCTCTGCATAGGGTGGCAGCTGCTCCTGGGCTTCTCTGGCCTTGACCGCCCAGCCTCATGCAAAGACAGCTCCTCCCAGGTCTCCCTGCCTTTGGCTATCTGGCCCCACGTGGGGTGGAAGCTGCTCCTGGGGCTCCCTACCCCCCGGCTGCCTGGCCCCATGCAAGGCAGCAGCTGCTCATGGGGCGGCTCCCTGCCCCCACTGCCTGGTCCCGCTCCGGGTAACCGAAGTTCCTGCCTTCCTCCACTTCAGGGCAGCAGCCTCTCTCCTGGCTCTCTGTCCCCAGGTAATTGGCACTGCAGGCTGCCACCTGCCAGACTGCTTCTGCTCCCAGCTCCTCTCAACCTCTGCAGCTGGGGCTCTGGTCTAGCAATATCTGTAGTCCTGTCAGACCATGGATGTTGCTGGACCAAAGAGTCCTAGGCAAGAGAGGTTCAATCTGTACATGGTTAGAAACAAATAATGCATCCACTGAAATATTTAGCATATTTATAAAAATGGATACTGTTGAACATTACCGAGAATTCAGTGTCACTTCTTCCTCTAATATGAAAAGACACTTTAAATAAATAAAATCTGTAATCAAAATTGGGCAAGAAAATTTTAGCAAGTTTCCTATGGTTTGCCAAAGTTGTTGTGATCAGTGCTAAGAAGGACACTTTAAATTATGACAGTTTTCTGTGAAATCACTATTATTTTCTTGTTTAATGCTGACTATGAATTGAGAGGGTGATTCTGAAACTGACACCACTGTGCTTTTCATTAGAAAATGAGCTGGAACAAAAAAATCACTGGTGGAAATTTAAGCTAAAGTAAATAATAAAAGGAGAAAAAGTCTATTCCCCATACTTTATTGTTCTCTATTTTGAACATAAAACTACTTCTACCATTCCTTCATGGGTAATTAGCTTTAAAAAATCAAGTAAATGTTTATATATCATGTTGAAACTTCATAAATATTGTGCAGTCTTTGAAACTGTTTGCTAATCTAGAAATATAGATGAGATGATGCTGGGTTAAAGCAACTGATATACTTTTGTGATATATTTTTTGGTAGGTTTTATGGTCAAGAGATTCGAGCTAGTGCCATTTTATTTGGTGATGTACCTCGTCCTGCTCAATCAGATGATCTGTATGAAATTCTGGATTCCTTTACTGAAAAATATGAAAATGAGGAGCAGAAGAACAATGCAAGGAAAGCAGCATGGGAACAAAGAAAGGTTTGCACACATCTTTTCCATATTAGCTCTCTATTGCTAAATGCTTCCTCAATTAGACCTAATCCTAATATTGTTGTGTGGGCGGTACTCACATTGAAGTCATTGGATCTGTAGAGTGCTGATGAATGGGAGGATGAGGGGTCTTTTTTTGGATGTGTGTGTGACTGTATTTACTCTAGTCTATTTTTCAGTATTGCATGGTAACCTCTTCTATAGAAGAACCTTACTATTAACTTCCCAATCTAACAATATAATTGTTCATTACGTTGTTTCTGCGAAAGCCACCAGTTTAGAGGGACATATATGTATTTGACTCACTACCCTCAGAAAAGTTAATTCAAAATATGCTTTTCAGCTGCAGCTTGTTTTTTGAGAAAAATGTTAATTCTTAAGAATATTTGGAATAAGTTGGGGTTGTTAGTTGAGTTTATCTGCTCCTTCTGTTTCCAGTCTAAAATTACAACTCTTGGATTGGGCCATCATATTTAATCACTGAGAAGATATTGAGAATTATGGGAAAAGACATTGTCAATATATGGACAATATTATCTGTCTAGATGTAACAGTTGATGCTACTGAGAGAGAGATTACAATATAATTTATTTTCTTGTCTTCAAGTTAAAATATCAAGCAGTTCCATTTGTAGTTTAGGCATATTACTTCATGGTGAATTATTGTGCAACTATATCAAAATCAGTCCTTAGTTTTACCGTTTGAAATGTAAGTTTATCAAGAGGCAATTTCTGGTGGGTGGTTCTTAATTTCTTTTAGACTCTCTCTAGCTCTTCAGTTACACTAACCTTTATTTGCTAATGAAATGTGATTTCCCCCCCCCCACACACACACACCCTCCCCTACTTCTTAAATTATTGATTTTAGGCATCTGAGCCACCTGTTAAACCATCATCAAGGCCACAGTCACGTAAGCCACCAGTGTGTCCTGTACCAGGAGGTATGAAAATGTTTGATGATAACATGAAATTGTTGCTATCTGTCAGATAAAAGTATTAGAATTACTATGAGTATTGGGCTACATCTACACTGGCCCCTTCTTTGGAAGGGGCATGCTAATTTTTCCGGCTTGGGGAAAGTAGGAATAAGAGATCCTCCGGAAAAGGGCTTTATTCCGGAGGATCGCGCCAGTCTAGACGCTTTTTTCCGGCTTTTCCCCAAGCCGGAAAAAAAGCGGTGGCCATGTTTATTTAAATCCCGCGGGGGATATTTAAATCCCCCGTGGATTTCCCTATTCCCAAGTTCAAAATTAGCATGCCCCTTCCGAAGAAGGGGCCAGTGTAGACGTAGCCTTGATGTTTTTATACTATCCAACACCTTTTTCTTATGTGAGATGGTAATTCTCTATAACAGCTTGCTTTGTCAAAAAGTAGAAGTATTTTGAGAGAGATTCATGAAAGATAATGGGTGACACTTTTATGCTTAAGTTTTAATAAATATTCTTTTATCTAGTTTTTAAATACAACATAACATACTTACTAAAAAGACACAACAAAATGGTTGATTTTGTTTTTACTGCTTATTATAGATGACAGCTGAATATAGAAATTAGTGCCAGTTTTACAGTCATGAATGAAATAGCTCAGAAAAGATATTAAAATTAATTGACTAAACAATTGTCCACTGTATGTGATAGACTTTTTTTCCTATTAAAAAGGGATTGTATACCTTTAAAAACTACTGGATTTTAACAGGGAGTTAATCTCTTCTGGTCTGGGTCCATTGAGCTACTACTTCAATGTCCTCTTCAAATAGGTATATGGATCTTTCATAAGTATATCGCCTTAATTCCTACTCTCTAGTCTAGTCTTTCTTCTGCCACAGAGCAAGTAGGCTATGTGCTACTCTTGCTCATATTTTTTTCCTGCAACTCCTTTCCTATTTTTTTGGGGAAAGAGATGAATTGAGATTTCTATCTCTTAGTCCTGGTTCAATAAATAGCTATTTCTGCCATCCACCGCCACTTCTTGGCTAACTACAATAATTTTGTGGATCTTGAACATGTATTACAGAGTAGAAAACAAAGCAAATTGACCTGTTTTGGTATGTTATATAATTTACATTTTTTTCTGCAGATGTAAAAAATTCACAGAAACTTTATCCTGAGCTTCCCAATTGCCATGCTTCTGAAGGTAAGTACTACACTTTGAATTTATTTTAGAAATGCCACCTGGAATTGGTGAGACCTCATGGGGATATTTTGGAAAAATTACACTTTAAAAAATGTGTGCTTGTATCACTTTGTCATCTTTATTATTTAGACTCATCCTGTGCATTAAACAAATTAAGAATACCTTATGCATTTTTTTATGTTTTAGAAATGTTTTATAAACATCTTCCCTTATCTTGTTCCCTGACTATGCTCAGGCAGCAGGTGAATCTCACATTACTTTCTGTCTCCTTGTGGCCTAACATCTTACATTTGAAAAATCCTTTTTCCTATTTCAAATACATGTCCAGTCCAATAACTACACTATATTTGATGATACCACCTTAATGAGGTAAAAGAAACTACTTTGACATGACATAATCCTGTGTCCAAGTTTACCTATCTGTGCATAATGTAGTGTAAATCCTGCTTTAAATAAACAGGCATCCACAATGGTCAAATCTGATTAGCATCATAAGGATAGTTTGCCATTGCATTTACATCCTTTTACAGGATTATGCAGTGATTTGAGATTATAAATATGTTTTTTAGTATAACAAAGAGATCACTTGTTGACTGTACAAACCACAGCACTGTTCTGAAGTCAAAACAGAGGCCTGTCTCATTTTCATCCCTAACTTATTTATGATTCTGTGGCACCCAGCACCACTTATAGTTTATGGAGTTAGAACTGTGAGAGCTTAGCATCACAGACTATTAGAACTAATTCTGAAGCCCAGACAGTTCAGATTGTTCTACACCTGATACAACTCTATGGGCCAAGTGGTAAATTCACTTAGAGAAGGCTAAAGCCAAACGAGCTTTTGTTTCTTCAGGTATGTCTCACCCTTCCAATGGAAAAAGCAAGTTTGCGTTGATCCCCTAGAACCACAAATTGTTTTGCAAGTCAAAAAACTAATATTTTCCCCAAATAAATTGGATAGGCTTATTGAGCTATACGTTTCTTTCTTGTTCAACACTAAGGGTGCATCTAAACCAGTGTTTCCCAATTTTATTTGGCCATGGAACCCTTTTCAAAATTCAAGGAACCCCTAGGTTTGTCAAGCCCAAAAAAAAAAAAAAAAGAGAGGGAACTCACCAATGCATGAAAATCACATTCCTTCCCCAAGATCCCACCCCTTTGAGGCCCCATCCGCTCTGTTCCCCTCCTCTCCATCGCTTGCTATCCCCAGCCCTTACACACTCTCACTGGGTTGAAATAGGAGGTGCGGGCTCTGGGGTGGGAATGAAGGATTTGGGTGTGGGAAGGGGTGAGAAGTGCAAGCTCTGGGAGGGATTGGATGCAGGAGAAGGGGATTCTGGCTCGGGAGGGGGCTCCAGGCTGGGGAGTGTTGGGCTCAGGTGGAAGGTTGGGGTGCCGAGCAAGTCACAGGCTTGTTGATGTGAGGGTGCAGGAGTTTGGGTTGGATATGTGAGGGGCTCAGGGCAAGGAGGCTGAGTATGATGGGCTCAGGACACAGATTTGTGATGTGTGGATGGTGCAGGAGTGTTGTGGCAGAAGACTGAGGATGAGGGGATGCAGGAGTTTGGGGAAGTAAGAGGCTCAGGACGGGGTTCCAGAATTGGGGTCAGGTGGTGCAGGAGTGTTATGATGCTGCAGTGAGATGGGGGTTTGGTCCCAATTGGGGGCATGTTGGCCAGGCTTCATTTTTAAAAAAAAAATATTATGTCAAACTCAAAAGGTTTTAGCATCGTCTTTATTTATGAAAGGGGCAGGGAACCTGTTTTGAGTCAAGGATCACTGACCTACAGAAAAGTCAGTTGGGGCCACACAAACAAGATGCAAAAAAAACCCCTCCAAAACCCCCCAAGCCTCATTAATGTGGCCCCAACTGTGCTTGTGGGGACAGGGTGCTAGTGGGTGCTGGGGCTGGGGAGAGGGTGCTGCTGGATGACAGGATGCTGGCATAGGTGATGGGGTGCTGGGGCAGGATGTTGGGGTTACGGACATGGTCCTGCTGGGCACTGGGGTAGGTGGCAGGGTGCTAGGGCTGGGGACAGCGTGCTGCTGGGTGCTGGGGTGAGTGGCAGGGGGCTGGGGCCAGGGGCTTGGGGTGGGGGGCCGGGTGCTGGGGCTGGGGGGAGGGGGGTGCCGGGGGGTGAGTAGCTGGGACCAGTACCTGGCAATTCTGCAGCACTTCTGGGTTCCAGGAAGTGTGCGACTGTACTTCCTCTCTCCAAACAGCTGGCGTGCACGCTGCCTGAACAGCAGGTGCTGTTGCACTCCAGCAACTTACTTCCACAATGCCATCCTGTGGGTGGGGGGGAGGGTGCGGGGAGTCCCAGGGCAGAGAGCACTGCCTGTACAGTCAAAGCTGCGCAGACCTGGGTCTCCTGACCTCCCTCTCCCCGCCCCCACTGTGCAGAAAGGCCGCAGAACTAAGTTACTGGGTGCCACAGCCCCAGCTGTTCAGGCAGCCCGTGCTGGCTCCTTTGGGGAGGGAGAAGTGCTTCCCTCCCCGCTGTGGGTCACGTGGGGTCACCCCTGTCCAGCACCCCTCTAGTGTGCCGGCTGGGAGCAACTGTTCCCCTCTGCCCCCGTCTCGCTATGCCTCTGCATTGCCAGGGAGGAAGGGGAAACAAGTGTGCTGCCTCTTTAAGAAGCTGGTTAGCCGGTGCTCTCTCTTTCAGAAGGGGCAGGGGAGTGCCAGCTCCTTGTGGAATCCCTACTTTTGCTCCGCAGAGTGCCAATTGGGAAACACTGGTCTAGATAGCACCCTTCTGTTGGAATAGCTACGCAAACTTCGTAGCTTATTCCGAGTCTAAATCAAAAGAGCTTATTTTGAAATTTGGCACTATCTAAATAGCGCCACATTTCAAAATAAGGCACTGTTCTGACAAATCCCTTAACCATTACAGTGACACCGGAATAGTGCACCCACTATTTTGGTAAATAGCAGGTGCTTTTGAAGATGCGGCATTGCTATTTTGGGGGTACTTCCAGCATCCCAAAATAGTAACACAGTCTAGATGAGGTCTAAGTTTTCTACACATAGTAATACTGACCAAGACTTACTATCAGATCCTAAACATTGGCACCACATAAATACATTGTGTCTCAGATACTCAGTGCTTAAAATTTAAAACTTTCACCAAAATGTTTTAATGTATTTTCAGTTTAAAAAATACAAATCAAAATAACCACAATGGTCCAGTTACGTTAAAAACATTGTGTTCATAATGTCCACTAAGTATGATTTAATTTAACCTAAGGTCCTGACAAAAGTATCGAAGTACTGATGTTTTTTCACATCCATGAATCATTAATAAATGAACAAGAATTACACAAAAATATAAAAAATGTTAAAATTTATAATACTTTAAAAAATTCATCTTCATTTTAAACATCCTTATTCATCTCTGTACTCAGCTTTCCTTTTAAGAAAATACAAACAATTACTTGCCAATTTCTTGTAGTAATACAAATTCTTGTTGGGGAAAAGCATTTAATTTAGGATTAGGGTCAGCAACCTTTCCGAAGTGGCATGCCAAGATTTAACCATCCTGCCATGGGCCATGCTGTTCTCCCAGGGGGGACGGGCTCTCCACCGTGCACCCTGTGTACTACCTTTGTCAATGCAAACCTTTCCACGGATTACCAGTTGCTAATGGAAACTCACTGTTAATTACATAATTACGCCAGAGCCATTTTGCTAGTGCTGTAGCTGGGGAGAACAGTTTTATTTAATTATTAAACAGATTAAGCGTTTTAACTTTCTCATGTTAGTTTATCAAATTTCATTTTAAATAAAGTAAAATATTATGTCCAATACAAAAGGTTTCAATGTCTTCTTTCTTTATGGCAGGGGTGGGGAACCTTTTTGGGTTGGGGACCTCACAAGTGATCCACAGAAAAATCAGTTGGGGACCACACAAGAGAGAAGCAAAAAAAAAAATCTCCTCCCAAAATCCCCAACCCTCACTGATGTGGCTTTCAGCTGAGACACCTCACTCTTCTGGCACTCCAGCCTCATGGGGTGAGGCGAAGGGGCAGGGAGGGTTCAGGGCTTTCCTTAGGCCAGATTTACTTTTCTGGGGTTCCAGAATTAGTGGATTTTTGTGGACCCCCTCAGGCTCTGGAGTGGGAACAAAAATGAGGGGTTCAATGTGTGGGACAGGGCTGCCAGCGAGTGGGATAGGGATGCAGGATCTGTGTGAGAGGTGGGATGCAGGATGGGGTGAGAAGGGCAGGGTCTAGAAGGGAGTTTGGTGGCAGAAGAGGGTGTGGGGTAGGGGTACAAGAGGGAGTTTGAGGGTGAGAGAAGATTGGGAGAGTAACACAGGAAGGATGAGAATGCAGCCAAATAGCTAGTTAGGGAGGGAGGCAAAGAAGTGGAGAGTAAAGGAAAATCTCTTCTACTTGCCTTCAGTTCAGGATACCAAGGACTTGTGGTTAAATATGAATACCTGAATTATTCAACATTTTCAGACTTTACTCACAAGCTTCCACATCAGGACAGTCTTCAATTTCCAGCTTTCACAGAAGTGCAAGGTAATTGCAAAGACCACTCCTCAGTCAGTGATAGATGCAGAGGATTTGTCCCTGAGGCGAATGGCCATCACTCAACCCCATGACCCCCCCCAGCCTGATCCCCCTGCATTGCCCTATGCCCCTCAGTGCAACCCCTGCCCTCTCCCATCCTGCTCCTGCATCCTCCATCACACCCTCTCCTGCTCACACTGTGCCCCCAGAACCCTCACTGGTAGGTCAGCAATTCTGGGACGGGGAGAGGCAGCAGGGTGTGGGGAGGCAGAGTCTCTTTCATGCCCGGCCCAGCCCTTTGCCTGCAGGCTGCGGCTCCAGGGCTGAGGCAGGCAGAGCCCAGGGCTGCCCAGGGCTGGCTCCAGCCTAGCCGGGTATAGCAGGACACTGGGGAAGGGGCTTCCTAGTCCTGCACACAGCCCGTGGGGATTAGCACGGTGCAGCACCTGTGACTTGCCAGCTGAACAGGCCCAGCCCCA